AATGAATAAGGTACTCCTTCTCCCTACCCTAATGAGCTGGACCAGTCTTTCCTAGGAAAAACAGCCTCCTTAGAGGGGCCAGTGGGGCAAGTATTTGTATATATAGCTGATATGGAATAATTTGCTGATAGAACAGGATGCACCCTAATAAAGTACTTTGGTAGAAAACAGTATAATCTGTGTGGATCTATCCTTCTCTCTCAGGGATTGCATATGGTAAAGAGTTGTATGTATATGTATGCATGTATGTACCCAGGACAGAATATACACACGTTATGTGATGAGCCACACCTTACTAAAGTTTTGTCACTTAGAAACTCAGTTCCTGAGAAATTAGAATGTATAAACCTAATGAAAACTGACTCTTGCCGTAGGTGTTGAATCAGCACTAGTGAGTTTTTAACGTTCATATGCAGTTTTAGAAGTTAGTAACTTTATATGTATACATAACAAGAAATATTGAACAGAATACACAATATTTCTAGATGAAACAATTCACATCTCTTGCGCTCCTCGAAGTGGCAGACACAGGAGTGATTCCAACTCCTTGAAAACATGATTACCTGTTAATTTCACTGTAATTCTTATCCTAAGGGGTAGTTAATGGGAGTGGATTAGACAGTGAAGTACTTGGCCATGTCTGTAGATTGGCTTGCCTGTAAGGTCATCAGGTAAGAATTATTTTACAAAGCTCTGTGACCTTGAGCCAATAAAGTGCTTGAAGCAGTGCCTAGCATGTAGTAAGCATACAGTACATGTTAGCTACATATAGTACAGAGGGCAGGCAGCAGCATCTTGCTAGGGGATGGTACTCTCTCAGAATGATTTCATTGTCATAGATTAGGAATAAGGAAGTTCTTCAATATTGCAAGCCACTATTTCCCCATGTAGTGTAGCAGTTAAAAGACAGCCAGAGTTCCTAATCTAATTCCACCAGGAACTAACTGAGTGACACTGGGCAGGTTCCCTTGTGTAAGCCTCAGTTTCTACATCCGTAGCATGAGCATTGTAATAGGAACTCTTCTGAGGGTTGCAAAAATTAAACGAGATAACTGAAGGAAAGTATTTAGCCTGGGTAATGCACTCAGCCCATGGTCATTTTTGTTGTTGTCATCTTCATTTTACATGTGACAAAAATCATCTCAGAAGTTGTGCGTGCTCATTGTTGAGTACAGGGCACAGCAACAGAGCAGGTTTAGAACCAGGCTCCCATTTCCACCCAGAGCACCACCCATCCCTTCGTGCATGTCCTGTCCCTTGAACACCTTTTGCATTTTTTGGCATCCTATTTTTTCATCACCTCCCACTTCTGGAGCCAGCTGGCTTTCCTCTCTACCCCAGAGGAGGTGTGAGAATGGGAGATGTGTCAGCCCTTTTGGCTTTTCTCAGAATTCAAGAGAAGAGAGGGGTGTTGGCGTGAAGTCAACAGCTGATGGTCATGGTGTTCCCCTGGGAGACATCCTATCTTACTCATTAGTAAACCGCTGCTTTGAGGGCTATGATTGTTTTACCCTACTTTAAGAGTCTGAAATTTCTCTCTGGTCCTGGCAGTCAGTTTTCCCAAAAAAGGGGAGACATTTAGACAGTAAGTCTAACTCTGGCCAACAGGCTTGACACTCTGAGCTATCCAGGTTTACATATGGTGATCTAGAAAGACGTTCTTCCTTCATTTATTCAACAAATAGATGAAGCTGCTGCCCTGGCAGGGCTTAGAATATAGATTGTCTACACTGTAACTGTAACTATGGTGTCTACTTGGGGACTTGTCCCGTCTAAGTGTCCTGCAAGTCTACCCAGCGTTGAATGTGGATGAGATTAGCGACAGAACCTCTCACTTTTCTTGCTAGCCAATTAAATTCCAATTTAAATGGACATACAGTTACTCAGGACTTGTAAAGCCAGGTGTCTAACCATGAGTGGAACATAAAGATGATTGCGATGTTCTAGGAATAGCAGGATGCTGTTTGTCAAAAGAAACCAAAAAACGGTCTTTGGATTTTTTTTTTTTTCCTACTGTCACAAAACTCAAGTAGATAAATTTGCAATAAAATTATGCAATATAAGGAACAAAGAATAGAATGGAGTCAAAGATGAGGAAGAGCTGAGGCTGGGTTAATAAATGTCCCTTGTCAGACACAGAATCAGGAGCAGCAGGAGGAGCTAATTATAATTTTTGTCTTTTTGGCGGGGGCAAGGTTTAATCTTTTTTGGGAGGAGCAGCAGGATTCACTGATGATGATAAACTTGGTTTTAAATGTGTTTACTGTGAGGTGACCCTAGGGCGTCTGAGCAGAAATGCCTAGTGGACATTTGTCTTTTGCCTGAGATCAGGGTCGGTGTCAGGCAGGGCTCCACCTCCCTCACGGGAGCTGCAGGAGAGCTGGGCTTGGGTACTCACAGCACCGGCAGGAGACCCAAACTCACCCAATCAGATGCTGCCACGGGGCTGTCCATCTTGAGGAATGACGTGAAGGCAGGTCAGGCTTTGTTTGCAGCCTCCATGGAATTGAGGAGTACAGGTGAGAACAGTGGCACAAGGGCCGTGTCCCCAGCAGCCTCGTCCTGTGTGGGCCGTGTCTGCAAGAGTGCGCTTGTCCTACCCTGCTTCCTGCCAGGCCTGACGTGCTGGTCTTCTTCTTGAGCTATCAGATGCCCTTTCATAAGATCTTTTGTGCTCCAGTTAGACAGAATTGGTTTTGGTCACCTGTATCCATGAGCTCTGATTAGTACAAGGATCTCATGAAGGATCCCATGAAGGATCCCATGAAGCATTTGAAGTGCTATGTTCAAAAGAGACTTCGTAGTTGGAGATGGAATTTCCCTCACTTTATTACTAAATGCATAAAATGAAGGAATACAGTATGCCCATCCCCAACATGGTGACTACAACCGTGTGCTCGTTGCTTGTGACCCTGGGCAAGCAACATCTCTGCCTGGACAGCTGATAAACATTCCACGGTTGCTGATACTGCCCCGAAATCTACTTCTCCCTGGTCATTCTCATCTCAGAAAAAAACAGCAACAGAAAAGCATCTCTGTTACTAGCCAGTTCTTCAAGCCAGAAACCTGATGGCCACTCTTGAGCCCTTCCTTTCTGTCATTCATCATCTCCCCTCCATCCACAGGTCCTCTTGGGATCACAGAAGATACCACAGCTAACCACTTTACTTTTCTGTCATTCTATAACTTTTCTTTCTTCAATTCTGCCCTGTTGAAACCTTCTTTCCCTCCAACATGCTAAGTTTTTCCTGTGTCTCCCATTTCCTGGAATGCTCTTCCCCTCAGTGGTGACCAGCCGTTGTCTTGCCGACCTGGAGGGCTGTGCTCAGATGTGCCTTCTCCAGGGAGGCCCTTCCTCTCCTCCCGTCATCGCATCCTCACAGCCTCTCACATGTCATAATGTTTTATTTTCTTCATAGCATTTATCACCATGTGAAGTTATCTAATTTATTTGTTTGTATAATTGTGGGCTGCCCATCTCTCCCTGGAATATCAGCTTCCTAAGACCAGAGATCTTGTCTTTTTATTTTCTACTGAGTTTCCAATGCCTAGAAAGCTACTTAGCACAACATAAATACTCAATAAATACTTGTTCAACAAATGAATGAAATAAACACTGATGTTACTTAACCTTTTTAAGCCTTACTTATTAATAATTTGTCAAATGAAATGCCTTCCTTGTAGGGTGTTGGAAAGATTAACTAAAATATTGCATGTAAAGCACTTAGTGTGGTACTTCATATATCATAAGTGTTCCATAAATAGAACTATTGTTTTTGTTATTAACATTATGTAAATTTTATGTCAACAGATGATCAGATTTTATTTACTTTCTTCTTTTGCATAGATACCAGTGTAGAGTAACATGTAGTTAAAGAAAATAAAGGTTGCATTTTTGCTTATGAGATACCTGTGATAAATTTTATAGGCCATTATCAGAATCACCTGGGAAAATTTCAGACTTTTCCCTCCTTCTCCCAGGAAGGTGTATCAGATTTCTCTTGGTGGAAGGTAGATATGCACTGTTTAAAAATTTTCCCTGCGTGATTATCAACATCCTCACTGTCACCTAAACTGGAGAATAAGATGCTAATGTAATTTACCTTAGGTCCAAGCCATTGCCAGATTTAGGAAGACTTGCTAAAAACAGGAAGGCAAGATAGGCGGTTAGTTGGGAATGTTGCTGTATGTTGAGATCTGAGATGCAGAGGTCATCCCTTTGTTCTGCAGACTGGAATGCTGAAGCCCAGGCACCAAAGTGTGCTAACTAATGCTGGACTAACACTGAATGACCTCAATTTCCTCTGCTGGGATAACAGGAATGATCACCAAATGAGATCTTCAGAGACCAGCCAGTAGTCACAGATGGAAGGCAGATGAGCTAGATGGGTCATGATCAAAGTTGAGTTGGCCTCTGGTCCTTTTCCATGTTGGGGACAGGATTAGATACAGATTGATATATATATTTTCTAGGACATCAGGGATAGATCTGGACCTGGAGACAGGAATGTTCTATGGGGGAACCTCCTCCTTTGGAGGGCAGTAGTTGTTGAATAAAGGGAATTAAATAGCTTGTGACCGCCCTGGGCCCAGAGGATCCCCTTAGGAACAGATCTACTCCATTGATCAATTTCTGTCTCTCTCCCACCTGTACCACCAACTCTCCAATAATGTCTTAAGCATTTCTTTCTTGGGGTTGATTATTCCTAGACATATTTACAGAGTCCGTCAGTGACCATTGTTCAGTTCCAAAGATTACAGTGGATTGCTTCTTAAAATCTAGTGCAAAGACATATTTTCTTTCAGAATATTACTTGTTATGTTTGAAAGATAAAATATTCCTTATTATATGTTTAGTCATACATACACACATATATAAATGTATAATATAATCAGGTGAATTTTGGAATTTTATATTCTGTACCCTGTCATTTTGATTGGAAGAAGTTTAAGTATGGTCTAATGAAAATGTTCTTTTTTTTTTCCTTTTAATCTGTTAGTGCTGCCAATTGTCCCTATTCAGAAATCAATTTGAATAAAGACCGTATTTTCCCTGATCGCTTAAGTGGTGAGATGCCTCCAGCTAGTCCATCATTTCCAAGAAATAAAAGGACGGACACAAATGAGAGCTCTTCATCACCAGAAATCAGGTAATTAAAATGATAATATTAGAATTATTTGGAAGCACTCTGATTGAAAGAGGTTTCTATCTTAGATGTTTTGTGTTCTATGGCAATGTTTTCTTATAGCTTATTTAAAATGTACCTGATTTAATATGAAATGATGGTAGGGATCAGTACTTGGACTTTTTTTGTTGTTTTAATTAGGGTTTATAAATGCATGTCCGGATCAGAGTTTTCTCTTACTTGTTCTTTTTTTTTTCTTTTTCCTGCCCTTGCACCCCCCACTTGTGTTCTTTTATTTGAACCTGCTTGGTATTTGAGGTTTGAAAATTCCAGCCAAAATGCTGCATGCCAGTTCATATTTCTGTGTGAATTAATCAGTACTTATATGGAGCCAACCGTTATTAGAAAGGTGGCAGACTCCTTGTGAAAACCGGACATTATTTCTTTTTAGTGCTCATTTATGCCACATACTTGCATATACAATATTACATTTAGTTGTTAATATGTTAATTGTATTATAAGCTCAGTCATTTAGTTTTGATTTCACTCGTAGAGTTGAGTTGGAATGTTTAACCACAGGGGATTATTAAGTAAAGAACTGAGTTTGTTTGATATATCTTTAAGTAAGTGGTCCATGCCCTTATATTAACAGAGGATAAAGAAAGCAGATTAGGAGAAAGATGCTTCTTGATGCTTAGGTTTTGGGATCTCTTTTATGAAGTATTTTGGAACCTAAGACAACATAATTCTTTATATTTTATAACTTCCATTATTCTGGATAAACCAGGTAGACATTTGAATTAGTAAATATGATTCTAAATTCACAGAAATGTTATCAGAGTAATGGCATTTAAAGTCAAGTATCATTATCCTTATAATCATTATCCTTACTGAAAAGCAATTTTGCCCTTTGGATAGGGTGGAAGGGAACCACAACTTCTTGAGTTATCAACAACAGTGGTGATTTTTAAAATTCTTTTTTTTTTTTACTCTTTTTATTTTTGAGACAGGGTCTTGCTCTGTTGCCCGGGCTGGAATGCAGTGGCATCATCATAGCTCACTGCAACCTCAAACTCTTGGGCTAAAGTGATCCTCCTGCCTCAGCCTCCTGGGTAGTTGAAACTACAGGCGCATGTCACTACACCTGGCTAATTTTTCTGGTTTTTTTTGTAGAGACGAGGTCTTGCTCTTGCTAAGGCTCGTCTCAAACTCCTGGCCTCAAGTGATCCTCCCTCCTTGGCCTCCCAAAGTGCTGGGATTACAGATGTGAGCCACGGTGCCCAGCCAGATTTTTAAAATTCTTGAAACTGTGACAAATATAACATGAACTCATTTACCAAATTGCAGCCAAAATGAGACTTGCTTGAAGAAATTTAAAGCAAATAAAAATTAGCAATTTATATAGCAGTAATTACACATATAGAGTTCATTGACTACAAAGGTGTTAAGATTACCTAGAGTTTAGATTTCAAAAGCTAAGATACTGTTTAAAATATCAACAGAATTCTCAGAAGGACATAGGCTTTTCAATAACTGGGCTCCTGGGCCAGATCCCTGGGGCCAGAGTCTCCTCGCAGCACAAAGGGCTGGTTGGTTTGGATTATTTCTTGGGCTCCTTTTTAGCTCTAAATCCATGTAAGAATACAGTAGTTTTTATAGCACAGCTGATCATTCCAGTGTTCGGTCTTCTCTTTGGGTATGGTCAGGGTTCTTCCTCATGGACATCATTTGTGACTAAGGGGACAATCTCTGATAAGTTTTCCATAGTAACCCATTGCATGTTTCATATCTAAATCTTTTTAAAATTGTATGTATTTTTAGCCTATGCCATCATTTGAGTCAGTGAATTCTGACCTGCCATTACTCTTCTTTTTTTTCCCCCCCAACTTTTTTGTAGGTTTTCTGCTAAAATAAGTAGGTTCAAAAATACCCATCCTCTCTCTAGGGTTTCAGCCAAAGCGTTTACTTTTTGAGACCTTGAATTGAATGTCAATTAGGATTGTCAACTCTAGTGTCCACAGTAGGATGAAATGTGTGGCCCTGCCATATGTCACTGTGCGTGTGTACAAAGCAGTACTTGAACTTGACAGCTGAGCCTACCTGCCGCCACTTCCCCTTTTTCTGGCCCCAGGAGCCTAGCAGGGAATGAAAATGTCTGAAGCAGCCTGTTTGCTAGTGATCTGCTGAAATGGCTCTACTCGCAAGGCGTTGGGGGTAGGAGGTTGGAGTACTGTTGTGATATGGGGCAAGACTGGTCTTAGAAATCTCCCACCCATCTCCTCCTTATCCTAGAAGCTCCTCATCTTCCATCTTGACTCAAATTTCCCCAGAGAGCATTTCTACCTTCTTATTGGTCTCTTATAAACCATAACTTTGAGTGTAACCCAAGGCTGGAACCAATATCTTTAAAAGGTAAAGAAATGTCCTTCCACTTGGTTTCCAATGGGTTTCCTTTTTTTCAGGAAAATCCTGAGCATGTTATATAATTACTGTTATCACATTTCAAACTGTGTGTGTGTGTATGATTTAATTTCAAAGTGTCTCATTTTATTATTATGAATGGTCAGAGGTGTCCATGTCTGCCTCATGGGAGGATCCTGGCAGAGCGGCAGTGACCTGCCTCTGGCCTGAGGTCAGCCAGGACTGAGAAGCAGTGGTAGGACTCGGCTCGCAGCCGTCTGGAGAGGACTTCATACCTTTCCATGGAAGTCCTGGAGCCTTGCTCCTGAGGGTTCAGGGTTGACGTCTCTATGCAGGTGCTCGTTTGCTTTAATTCCATCTTCTTGACTCTCACTTTCTGTACCAGCTTTGGCCAGAGCTGTGGTTTTAAAATGTAGGAAATGTAAAAAAGCTATAACTTAGACTTTCCAACTGTTTATATAGAATTCTATATTTCTTCTTATTTCTTCCCACATAAGCAAGAAGCAGAGCAGTAAATCAACAGTATACCCAGAGGCCGAAGAATAAAAAAGATGAGGAGGATTCTGAGCTTTCTGCTTAAAAAGAATTTAATCACTTAAAACCTAGAGGTAGTAAATAATCCCATATTTCTTAAAGCTTCTATAATTTCTGACGGAGAAGTAAAACTAAATGAAAATAAAGTATTACTGATACATTAAAAATAGTTATTAAGCATTTTCTAGGTGCTGTACTAGGTACCTTACGAGGATGGTTCTCGTTTTTTTTCTGTAATACTTTTTTGTAATGTTATTTCCCTGAGTAAGTGCTGTCAGTGATGCAAACCTTTCTGTGTTTAGTACTTTCTTAGTTACAGTTTAAGATACATTAACCAGTGAGAGACACAGACATTTTGGATGTATAAAGTTGATACAAATAAACTTTTCCCCCCATCTAACTTTAATGCTTTGCTTTATGCCATCATTCTCCAAGCATGGCCATCTAGTCTCTTAATGTAGCTCTTAATATTAGTTATTTCTATGATGCAGACCCAAGGAGCAGATGAATAAGTAGTTCAGGCCCAGCACTGCAGGAACACACCCTAGTGCTTGCTTGTCCTCCACGGAGGAGCACAACCTGGTGGTTAGGAGCACGAGGCACTGCTTGGATTAAATCTTGTTCAGTGTGTGATCTTGGATGAATTAGTCAGTAGCTATTTGCTTCAAATCTCATGGTTTATGAGGATTATATAAATGAAAACTGCAAATGTAAAGCTCTTAGAGTAATGACTAATAAGTAATAAGCCCTCAATAAATGTTAGTTTGTATTAATGTTGTTGAAAGAGGAATTCCCTATTTGTTTTATAGTATTTCTTGTATTCCTTAGGAGTAAATGAATGGCGGTACCATTTCTTTGATATTCCTAGGTTAAACTTTGAATAGATTGCTTGGACAGGATGATTCTTATAAAATGGAATTACATTTTCTCTTCCTATAATCATTGCTCACTTGGATATAAATTCCCACTCAGGTTTTAACGTTTTTTTTTTTTTTTGCATTATTCTTAATAATTTGGTTGCCAGACTTTACTGGGTTTTTTTTTTTTTTTTAATGCACTTTGGTACACAACAGTTTGCACCCCCTGGGAACAAACCCTGAGACAAGGATTTAATGATTTAATTGCAAGTGGTTTACTTGGGAGGTCTAGAAAATATCAGTAGTTGAGTGAGAAAGTGAGACGGGGAAGAGAAGGCAGCCAGAAAAAACTTAGTTGTCAGGCTGGTTACCACCATGGACAGCGGGAACACAAACCTGCTGGGAAAACTCTGGGAGTCCGTGTAAACCTCCCCTCTCAGAGTTAGCCCACTATAGGGATGTGCGAGCTGAACTACTTAAACACCAGTCCCCTTCTGTCACAGAGTAGGGTGGTGTGCGTTCATTCCCCAGCATGCTGCCCTGCTGCACAGCAGGCAGAGCAGCCAGGGCCGGGGAAGCCCTGCAGGAGAGCAGTGCAGGTGGGACAGGTGGACCTCAGGCCTCCAGGTGTGCCCAAGTAGAACAGGTGGCTGCTGCACCATCCCATTCCCCACTCTCCATTCCAGATGCGAGATACTTCCCAGAATGAGTGATGTGCTGGTGTTGCTTTTGATCCAGCAGCTGATTTAATAGGGCTAGAATAAATTAACACTGCAAAGAACGTATATCCTTTTCATGCCATTAACATTATTGTAAAGGCCACCTGCTGGACAGTTAGTTGCTGGGAAACTAATGTTCCTAGCAGTCATTCCCAAACTTGGCTTCACATCAGATTCCCTGGGACTTCTTTAAACTTCAAATTTGAGGGCCTGCCTCCCACCAGAATCTTCCAAGCTAGAGCCCTGGAGTCCACTCAGGACTTTCAATGACTTCTCATTACTGTAGAATTAAGATTGTAATTCTGATGCGGCCTATAAAGAAAGCCCTGTGTCATGTGGCCCCTGCCTAACTCCCCAGCTTTGTCTCTGCAGGCTCTTTTTTCAACTTAATGCTTCCACCACCCTGGTCCTCAGACATTGTTTTCCCTCTGCCTAGAACCTCCATCTCCGCCCTTTCCTAGCAAATCTCTCATCTTCAGGCTTCAGATAAACTGTCCTTTCCTTAGGGAAGCTTTCTCTGACCTTCCAGACTGTAGAGCAAGTCCTTCATTCCATGCTTTCACGTCACACGTCCTGATGGCCTTTGACGTTTTTGTGTAAACACTTTTTCAGAGTCTATGTGCTTTATTTTGTGATGCGCTCCCTAGGCAGAGGCCACATCTTACCTCATTCTCTGAGTTACCTGTAGTACCCAGCGTACTACCTTGCACGCAGTGGTGACCTTGAATCATCCATCAGTCTTCAAAGGAGACGTATCAGTTATATAGCCTAAGAGGCAGTAGCCATATGCTTTTTTTTCACTCCTGTGTTTTCAACATTGTGAGATCACCATACCAGATATCTAAGGAGTGATTATGAAATGATGAGATAAATTTCCCAAATACATACCTGCACTCTTTTATTAGTTAGGGTGGTGTCTCCCAAACTGTTGCTGTTTAGCTCCTTGCGACCCACACAGAAAATGATACCAAAGAAATGACAACATTTACATCACACACCAAGGAAATGGATGAGGCTGCCTCCCAGCCAGAGAGAGGGCTGCGGAGGGCTGCAGGGCTCAACGTCTCAGGGCACTTGTACCCTAGGGCTCAGGGCATCCTCGCTGGGAAGCTCTGCCCCACGTTACAATGGCTTCCATTTTGAGTCCGCTTGTAGGCGTGCCGAATGCTGGTTGGATCTGTTTTCCTACAGACACTTGTCAAATGGGTGGATTGAATTCCCAATGCTTATCTAGATAGAAATGTGGGTACACAATCCTGTCCCGGCTATCCATTCATTCATCAGAAGCCTAGGGAATGTCCGTGGTGTGCCTAATGCACTCAGTGAGAAGATGCTTTCCTCACTGGACGGCAGCAGCTCATCTCAGTGCTGCAGGCAGCAAGATGGAGAGCAGGGCTCTACCAGTGAGTGGCGTAGCTTTTCCTGGGGACTGGTGACTTAAGTCTCTACATGTCTGCAGGCTAATAAAAGAATATGTGTATTTCTGTCTATATCTTAATAAAACTGTAGGTCTTAAACTTTGACTTGCATCAGAATCATCTGAGATGCTTATTTAAAATGTGACTTTTGAGGCACCACTCCCAGAGATACTGATTTGGGAAATAAAAGGTGCATCCAGTAATCTTCATTGTTAACAAAGACTCCCAGGTGACAGATGCAAGTGGTCTGTAAACCAAGCTTTGGGAATCACTACTGCATGTAAACACCTTTCTCTGGAGTAATAATTCACAGTGAATTATCAGTTGGGAAGCACTGGGCATCCATCCCACATAGCCTTACTCTCATGAAATCTGTCCTACAGCTGCTTGTAATTGTGTTCTAAATTAGGTGCTATCTCTATAAAAATCACTTGTTTTAAGCTCCCAAGTTGTTTAAGCCTGCTTAGACATAACCACCGAAACACAATAAAGCATCTTTAAAATGCCTGCCAAATGCTTGTATTACCTTGCAAGGCAAATGCCCACTGCTGAACGGATCTAATGACAAAATTCAGTATGTTAAGTTTGTTACAGACCATTAAAATGGCTTCTCAAGTTGTAGGACCAGCATTTCCACTATGAAAATTGCATAGAGCAGTGGCAGGAATTGCAGCCATCAATTGATTTATATTTTTAGCACGAATCTAATTTTGTCAGTCACACCAAAAGCCAAGTCTCTGTACCCTATTAAACAGATGGGAAAACAAGCTAACATAAAATATGAAACTATAAGCATATGTAAGTCTATTTACTTTGCAAAACTATCACGTCAAGCAGAATAAAATTCAGAGCCAAAATTTATAAAATATTACGAAAGTTGATTAGTAATCTTTGGGAACTTGGTTTTGTCTCCTAAGATTTTCTGGATCAGCTTACCGTTGAATAATGGAGAAAGTAATTTCAATGACGAGGCATTCTCTCGCTATTATAAAGTCTCTTTTCCCTTTTTGTTTGTGGGCTGCCAACTATGAATTAGGAGCTGTGGAAGTTTTTAAATATTCCAGTTCTTGGGAATCTGAGTCAAATCTGTGTAGTTGTTTGTGTGCACCAAAGAGAAGCTCAATATTAGTTAAAACACTCACAGTTCTAATGCCAACCGCTGTGACACCAAGGCAATTATTCAGAGCGTAAGGGAAAGATGACTGTGTTATTGTTATATGCCTGTGAAGTTGTTGGAACAATATTGTAACAAGATCTTATTTTATCTCCTTGAATATCATCAATTCCTGACTCAGGAGACTCTTTTATATAGAGTAGAAAAGCAATGACATCTGTTCTCTTTTCTACAACAATAACAAAAAAGCAGCGCCGTCTCACTCTTATGATACATCATCTTTAGTTCCCAAACCTCACCTTATTTGGTTAGGGCTTTGCATTTCATAAAAGGATTGATGAATTGCTGAATGAGTTTTTCTGAGGGGTTTTTCCTTGATATCTTGACAATACCCACTGCATTTATTCATTGTATTCCTTCTATTATATTCTTTCACTAGCATATGTTCCTTACGCTAAATTATAAGTTAATAGGCTCATTAAGCAAAATGTTTTTATTCATTAGATAAATGGTAAACCATGTTTACCTCTCCTGGGCCATGTTTATGAAAACACCATTCAGTAAAACTATGGCTATTATATCATCTCAAAAGGAATTTAATTTTAAAACTCTTTATTTGAATGTTAAACGTAGACATGAAAGTTTGATTTCTACTGGTTTTATTTGCCATCTTCTCTGAGTCCCTTTGAAGGTGGTGACCTGCTTGTCCTGAAGCTGTTCAAGCACAGTCCCCACTTCATTTGTAGGTGGCATTTTAGGGGCTGTTTGAGTATTCTTTTAAAGTTCCTCTAACGTGTAACCCCTAAGATTCTCATTCACTGATCTCCTGCCTGTGAGTGACTGACAGCCCAGAAATTAAAAAAAAAAAAAATGCTAGAGGCATGCAAAGAGACATCCTTTTGATGTTCAAAACAGAAAAACCTGCATTTTTTGTATCTCTTCCTCGTATTCAGTGTCCCCACTTGTTACTGGGAAGTACAAGTCCTTTTCAGTTCCTACGAGGCCCCTATGAGACTAGAATTAGCTGTTTTGGAAAGAGAGAGGTGGGGTTATTTTAAGCCAAGCCAAACTAAATAGTGAGCTTTTGCACTTGAGGTGCAGTAAGATGGTTCTGATGCTGGGCCTACTGCAACTGTTAATCCAAGCTTCCCAACCAGTACGCCCGTGTTTCTACCTACCTTGCATGTCCTGCTGCCTCGGTTCATGCTGGATTTAGAGCTCCATGCTGAAATCAGTAAATCCCTGAATTAAGGCAGAATAATTCATTGTTTCATAATTTTTTCAGTATCGTTTTTAACAGACTGGGACTGATTGAAACATAATTGGTTAGGGATTGTTTTTATATGAAAAATAAGTAAACTTGAAGAAAATACAGCCGCATGCATCCACTGCCATCCTGTTACTATACATTTACTCTTCTAATGTTTGTTTCCCCAATATATACCACAAAGCATAATTAGAGTGAGATAGTAAGACATCTAAACGTGACACATAATTACAGAGAAAGAGACAATGCTGACTCATAAAGAATACGTTTTTCCATTCAAGTGGATTCCACTGTCTTAATTAAAAGCCGAGTATTCTCGAGTAAGATTTCACTGTGATTGTATTTCAGTTCAGGCTGAAGAAATGGCCTGAACTGAAATAAATTGGTTCTTGAAAATTCTGAATCCCAAGAGAAATTGCTATATTCCAGGTACTTTTCCAGGTGCTTTTACCTACATTAGCTCATTTAATGCCCAAAACGCCCTATGTCATGGAGGTGCTGTTACTATTAATACGTCCTGATTCTACAAGCATAGACACTCTCTTGGTTACAGCCCACACAGCTAGTTAGCAGCAGACCTGGGTAATAACCCAGGCAGTCTGACTGCAGTCTGTGCTTGGAACCATTACTCTAAAAGCTGTTGTATTTGCAGCCTTGGGAATGTAAATAAAAAAATAAATAAGTAAATAAATAAAAGCTGTTTTAATAGTTGAAGAAAGCGGGTTACTTAAAGAAAATGAGTAGATAATTTTATCCTAAAATATAAGTAATTCATAAATAGGAATAGTTGCCATGCATCGTGCTCCTACTGAAGTGCCTGGCTCTGTGCTAAGCCCTTTCTATAAATTATTCTATTCATTTCTTAACATGCCATGTGAGGTAAAGGATTTATTATCCTTGTTTTACTGATGACACAACTGTGAATTAGGGAAGTTAAGTAAGTACATGCTGAAGGTCATGTGAAACTTGTAAGCAGCACAGCTGAAATTTGAACCAAGCGTGTTCACTTCCAAAGACCAGACGTGTAATCACTATTGCTGGGCTGCTTTCTCCATGTTAAGATTCACACACTCATGTTTCAACAGCTTTTACCCATTTTTGAAATGAAATCGCTGATAATGAAAAATGTTGATCAAACAGGAGGTCAAGAAGTTTTTATGTGGAACAACATTATAATATTAAATAAAATATATAAATTCTTTTATATTATTAAAATATAGCATAAAAATATTTCTGGTTGTCATTTTAAAAAAATCTGTCAAGAGGTGTATCTTATACCTGCAGTCCCCAACCCCCGGGCTGTGGACTGGTACCTGTCTGTGTCTTGTTCTAACAGGGCTGCACAGCGGGAGGTGAGTGGTGGGTGAGCAAGGGAAGCTTCATCTGTATTTACAGCCACTCTCCATTGCTCGCGTCACCACATAAGCTCCGCCTCCTGTCAGATCAGCAGCAGCATTAGATTCTCATAGGAGCACGAACCCTACTGTGAGGGACCTAGGTTGCGTGCTCCTTGTGAGTATCTAATGCCTGATGATCTGAGGTGGAGCCGAGGTGGCAATGCTAATGCTGGGGAGTGGCTGCAAGTACAGATTATCATTAGCAGAAAGGTTCGTACAATAAATGTAATGCACTTGAATCATCCCAAAACCCATTTCCCCCTCACCCCCCATCCCATGGAAAAATTGTCTTCCATGAAACCAGACCCTGGTGCCAAAAAAGTTGGGGACCACTGTCTTATGCTGTGCTCCAAGTGTATTGTAACATTACCCCAGAGTTTTGACATCCTCATATAATCATATTTTGTCTGTAATTGGAAGATTGTGTAGCTAGAGTAACTTTTTGCTTAGGAAGTTAGGAAGCTGCAATTCTAGAACAAGTATTTCATTTTTGCATGGAGAAAGAAATTCATCACAATACCTATTCAACCAGAATTACTGTAATGAAATTCCTAACATCATAGGAGAGAGAAATAATGGTTGCCCAATTGAGGAAAAAAAATTTATTTTAAATACAGTACAAAACAGATAAGAATATAGAGTCAAATTCTTCATTCTGTTGTACCCTTTAACTTCATATAACAAGGATACTTTATTTTGGAAAAATACAAGTATAAAAATCAAAGAGTAATTGAATCCATTTGTGGATTTTGGTGTCAGGAAGGCAGATCTGGTGCTATACATGTCCCGTGAATTGGGGCTTAAGTTCTGTACATTTCAGTGAACATAACAATAAAATCTTCCTCCAAGGAGTGTTATGAAATATTGGACATGTAAAGAGCTCAGCCAGTCGGTGGCTCATAATATGTTATTAAGAATGTTAACTTTTCTTACTAATATTAACTCCTTCCAACGTGCCTGGGTGTGCTCAATTAGGATTCTGCTCACTCCAGGGGTGCTGTTCACCCATCTATTTCATAATGCCTGTTCTCATAGACTGTACGGATTGACCCCTTCTTCTGCCTTCCTGCTTTCTAGCTAAAGGAAACAACACACAAGGGGCTTAGTCACTTTTAATTTTAAGGAATTTGCAGAATCAGTACATTAATCTGAAATGAAACATTCAATAAATTTTTTGTGGAGTTCTTCATTTGAATTGTGTTCAATA